TACTCTAATTAAGAACAAACTTGTGGCACGAAGGGGCAGACTGAGTCTTGAGCTAATTATGATCGGCTCAGTTATATGCTACCTCAAAAGACTAAATGCAGATAATTATATAAATTTTGGACATTCAAACAGTTCAGGGCGACTAGGTTGGCCTAGTCATATGCTCAAAGAAGGAAAAAGTTGTTGTGCCCTGTGTTTGTGTATACTCCATGACTGAGCTACACATGTTCCATAAATTTGGGTGGTCTAGCTTTATGCCCTATGTAAGCTAGGGGTAAAGGGATAAATCATTGAAAGACTACGAACTATTGTTTGTTCCGATTGACCTGAGGATGGTGAGAGTACTTACCTTTGTGGCTTGACCTGCATGTGACTGAGTGAGGCTACTACTTAGTTTGAGTTTTAGGTTGATAGGTAGATGCTTTAGTTGCTCGCCACGTGCTAGAGCCATAGGAGTTAGTTTCAATTCCTACATTTTCTGAGCTAAGTTTTTTTCTTAGGTCAATTTCTGCATTTTCTGGGATCTTTTGTTATACTTGGCTTTGTATAAATCTTGGTAAGCCACTTTCTTTACGGGAAGCGCTGCCGAAATTTCTACAAAATCAAGGAGTTAGTCAGACTTTGTCTTTTTCAGAGTCTAATGTTTTTTGACTTTTTGACTTCGTAAAAATATGGAACAGCTTCTTTTCTAAAGGGAGTGCTTTAGACTTTGAAAAATCAAAGTCACTGTAGATTCTGAACTTAGCTTTGTATAATTTCTGGAAAGACACTTTTCCTACGTGAAGCGCTGCCGAAATTTTCTTAGTTTAGAGAGGTTAGTTTATATTTTGACAGATGGCGATTCTTGCAATTCACTCTATATAGAGGAGACTCTACCAAGGTCTACCTTTCTTTGGGCACTTGCTTAGAGGCAAACCTAAGCTTAGTTTGTAGAAGGATCTTGGGTGGGAGTGTGTTATGAAGTTCTATTCTTCATACACCTATGACTTTAGCTTGGGGATTGGTCTGTTTTGTGTTACAGGTCTTCTTGATCGATTGATTCAGAATTTGGGCTAGATTCACGTTGATCCTACCATGATCGTCTTTTGTTATCACTGATAACAGGTCGGTTGCCGATTCGTCGGTTTACGACTCAACTCCAATCCACTCTTGCCACTCAACCTAAAGGCTTTAGCCTTGTGTTTTCACCCAGACTTTATTTGAATGGTCATTTAAAGAAAAATACTGAGCATTTTACTTTGAGGAGTTGCACAAAAGTTAGGTTTGTATGGCTAAAAGCAAGGGGTGTGAGTGCAGAGAATGGTTGAAGTTGACCCCTTGTAGCGTATGCACTTTTTGGTTGAATCTTTGATGTGATTGCAGGTATGTTTGGTGATTCGAACTCTGGATTTGACTGCCTGCGCTCACATACATATGTATATGACTGAGAGGAGGCCCACTGTGACTGTGAGAAGTGATCGTCCTATATTAATAACCTTAGTTACATATGTATATACTTATGACTTGAGTGTTTCGCGCGGCCTACTGGGACCACGTGTAAGGGTTAAACAGATCGTGTGGTTGAGAGAGGAGGAAGATCCCCTGTTATTCTTTGCTTTTTAGATTTCTATGGTTGAACGTTGTCAAAGTCAAACCCCTTGAGTTCTCCCCAGACCCTACATGATGAAGCTGGTCTCCAGGGCAATAAGAGACGATTGCCACCACAGGTATGAACCTGTGTACCACCCACTCTCCGCAGGGTGCAGAAGAGGGTGTGGTTCTCAACCGTACTTGGCGGTTGTCCAGCGTCGAGAGATTAACCCTCAAGGCGCATGTCAGACGACACTTGAGTGTCGAATGCGACTCTCGAGATTAACGAGGACCGCATGAATATGGGTGCTACATAGTACGCCATCACTGCGACCGCTTGCGTACGTTTGCAGTGCGAGTCGATATGAGTTAGCCTTGCGTCCGCGCGATTTTATATTAAGTCTCGCGCGAGACGCTTATCCGATTTTCGCGTCAGAAAGTTATGAGATGGCTACTAAGGGACTAGGAGTGTTGTCGCGTTGTTTGTTTTGTGGCGTTCTGTATTTGTATATGTACGTGCGTATGTGTGTGTATTTTTGTTTTGATGTGGTGTGCGCGTGGTGTGTGGGATGCGTCCTAGTCGATCGACGACGGGTCGCGCTTGGGACTTCAACCCCCCAAGATGCAGATTCGCGTGCGGGTTCGATAGAGGCGTAATACCGTGCGTACCCCCTATGCTACCACGAACGAGAAATGCCCTCGGCTGGTCCACCTCTGCGATAGAGTTCGCAGTGATTCACGATTTGTTTTTTCTTGTTTCATTCGTTTGTATCCGCAGCCATTCTGCATCTTGATACAGGCGCAGAAAACTAACGTGCTCCTGCCTTGTCCACGGGCCTAAAAGAAAGTAAATACCAAAAAAAAAAAAAAAACTGATTTACCCTTTATGAGTGACTGCCGGCTGAAGAAACACATGGGAATCTGTTAGCATGTCATGCACAGTAAGTGTGCCATATTCAGTTGCATTATAAACGGCTTGCCGCCGGAGCGTTTGACGGAAGAGCTCTCAGAAGACAGTGGAGGTGGCGCGACTCCTTTTTTCTTCTGATTTTTTTTTTTTTTTTTTTTTTTTTGTACAAGGTACCCTAAGTCTTGCAGAGCGGATCTCGTGTGCGGCAAAAACGGTCCTCTGTTTTTCATTATTATCAACTATAATTTTCATCAAGCACCTGCATCTGGCAGCCGAGATGTGCTAGATGCAGACGCTCCCTCCTGTGGGTGTTCCCCCGAGCGAAAACACCACGCTCCTTTTCGATCCATCTTTTGCCAACAGGTCCAGCACAGCGGCTGGAATTGGTACCGCCCTCAAATTTCCAAGTGGTGATACCGGTAGCAAATTTCAGGCTCGGCAAAATTCAAAATTCAGGCTTGTACATTTCCGCTCGGGTGTACTGCAGTTTGCTTGTTGTGGATGCAAAATTTTAGAGCTGCCTTGGGCAAATGGACACATAGGTGCTTTTTGTCATTATGTACTTGAGTTTCAGTTTGCTGGCCCTTTGGTCTTATGGGAGAGACAGCATGTATGCTTTATTGCTGAAGAGAGATTTAGTAGGCTCCCTTGCTTCTTTCTCTGCTGCCGGCAATTTCAGAGTTATGGTGGTGGGACTTTTACGTTGTCAGAAGAGAAAATTGGTTGGTAGGTTTTTTCTTGCCTTGGCAGTTTTTTTCTAACGCAAACTTAGGGTATGTAGTGTGTGGTGGTGGGGCATTTCCTTGTGAGATCACCAACTATACAAAACCAAACTCGCACAGTCAGTGGAAAACGGTGGTCATGGCGCGAGCCAAGGACTTTATGGGGTTACAATTACCTGACCTGAGCATGGTGCCCTTCACATGCATCGTCTTGTTTATGGAGTGCGGCAAACCACAGTGTGCTGAGCTCTCGCACAGCCGGCGAAATCAATCAGAAAAGTCAGTAGACTCAGTACCATGAGCAGAAGTAGAAATCTGCAGGTTATGGAGGCCATTACGGAAACAAAAGGGATTACCCAGGTGAGCGTACCTCATCGGTTCATCGCTCTCGTAGTTGTTAACTGCGCGAGGGGCATTGCGACTCTTCTCTGTATTGTTCCAATCTCAATGGACAGATTTCCATGGAAGAAAAACAAGTGTGTCAAACTCAAAAGGTGTTTCCCGATTCACAAAGTTCGATAGCACCGAGCACTGCCAAACGTCGAGGACATCATGCTTCACTGCTGAAGGGTCATCATTGCTTATTCCACTTGTACTACCTTTGTAGCCAATTAGGTCATATGGTATTCCCTTGAGGTGGTGGATCTCCAATTACTCTGTGCGGGGAGTCACCTCTGACACCGAGGCGGACCTCGTTAAACTTGATTAAACTTGATTGAAGTTGATTAAACTCTTTGAGCAATTTCCTAGAAGTATCTGACTGCAAAAAAAAATAAAAAATAAAAAAAATCTGACTGCACTTACAGCAGTTAATGGATGCATAAGACCATAATGACGTCCACAGATCAGTAGGAAAACTCCTGGTGTGAGTACGCCCTTACGCCCTTAGCATCACAAGTCTTGTAGAGCTCCACAGGACGAGTCTGTTTGCGACTGGTTCTCTTCACATGGCAGCTTTCTGGAGTGCGCACACATAGTCACAAAGTTTCTGGCATCCCACAAGTCACAAAATCTGTGACATCTCACAAAGGCACATACTTTGTCACGTCTCTCAAAATCACAAAGTTTGCGACATCTCACAAAATCATATAGCACTGCGCACATAGCATATCTCACATAGCGCACTACTGACTTCTGCCGAGACTGCAGGTCAACCTCTGATAATGCCACTGAGCCTACCGAGCGGCACATAGCACAATAGCACAATAGCACAATAGCACAATAGCACAATAGCACTTAGCACCACAGAGCACATCTCACAAAGTCCTTGTGCACTACTGACTTCTGCTTAGACAGCAGGTCAACCCGTGATGATGCGACTTAGCGTACAGAGCGCGGCACATAGCACATATCACTTAGCACCCAATAGCACACACATCTCACAGAGTCCTAGTGCATTACCGACTTCTGCTTAGACTGTAGGTCAACTGGTGATGATGCGACTGACCGTACAGAGCGGCACACAGGACATATCACATATCACTTAGCACCACATAGCACATATCACTTAGCACCGCATAGCACATCTCACAAAGTCCTGGTGCACTATTGACTTCTGCTGAGACTCTCACAGAAATCGTACAGAGTGACTAATACCACATAGCACATAGCACTTTGTACATCTCACAGAAATCTGAGAACCGCAAATTTTGGCGTCGGGCATTGAGAGGCACGAGTTTGCGTTGAAAACAATATGTCAGCTGCTTGTTAACTTACCGTTGTTCTATTCCAAGTGCAGAAGGTTTTCAAACTCCAACATTTCGATTGATAACTTAAAAGTTAAAGCAGAACTTTATGATTAAAAAACGCAAAATTTATTCCACTTAGCAGCGAAAAATGACATACGATTGCAGCTAGCGATACCTAGCACTTGGTGAAAAGCTTTGCAGAAAATGAAACTGGGCCGCCGAAAGTGAAACAAGGCCGCCACTTATCATTTTCATGGGGGCACGGCTGCTTGCCAATCGGTTCAATCAAATGAACAGAATACAAGTGGCAGCAGTCGTGTGATCGGGCGTGAGTCGACAGGACAGGATGAACGCCGTCGCTTGCAAACCGGTTCAATCAGATCAACAGATCTTTCTGCGAATGACAACCCTGCGAATGGCGGGGCGATTGCCGAAAGAAAGAAAGAAAACGAAAAAAAAAAACAACATCTACCACCATGCTGAAGAAGCCTTAGGATTTGCGGGCCGCCGTCCATAGCTCTCCATATTTCCTTGCAACAGATCCTATAGGTTTGTTCCTATAGGATTGTCCTATAGGACATAGTTGAAGACCATGGAATCACGAAATCGCCGGCGTTATTCTCCTACGACGGAAGGATCTCTGGAGCTATCTATCTGTTCTATTGTCCTATACTCCTGTTGACAAGAATACTAGGATGGAAACATCTCTAGTACTAATCTGTCCTATTGTCCTGAAACAATTGTTTCATTCTCTGCAATGCAAATAAGCTATTCAAAATCGTAATAGCTATCAACAAACTTATGTCTGCGACTTCCCACAAAGTCATCCACCACAAATCTCTCCGCCTTCTCCCCTTCTCCCTTTCCCTCTCTCTCTTCCCTTACTCTGTCCATGCATCCCCGCTCTACATCTCTCTCCAACCTCCTCCTTTCCCAGGTGAGCTTCGGGGTGAATAGTAATCAATAATCCCAATGTCATTCATCATTTCAACTTTCAAAATCATCGTGGAAGAAGCATCATGTTCTCATCACTTCTGCTTTTCTTCCCAAGCCCCACCTGCAACCAGCCACCAACAAGAATCCAAGAAGTGGAACATGGAAAATGACTAAATGAATCCCCTGGCCTGACCTCTCCTCTCCTCCCCACCCCCCCAAAACAAAGAAAGCAAATACCAAAAAAAAAAAAAAAAACAGGCAGTCACACGAGCTTAAGAAGTTCACACATGCAGAAAGTGGTACTCACAGCCAGCCATATGGTATGGGTCGGCCTGCTCACATACATCACCGGGCAAAGCATTTGCTAGGCTAGCAAATATATTGCACCCGTCCTCATGGTCCTGTTAACCAGAGCGGTCGTAAAAGGGAGTGATGGTTTTATCAACTTTTATGAATTAGTTTTTAATTATAGTCTTTCACCCCGCGGACGAGAATCAAACAATAGTACCAATAATAATTTGTATTATGACAAGCAGGTGCAGCCAGCGCAGCTCCGCCCGCGAAAAAAGTCAGGAAGCAACCCCAATGAAGAATCTCACTTCGCTCTTTCTGTCTCTGACTCTATGTTTTCTTTGT